AGCTTGTGTGGGGTTACTCAATTCATTCCTGCTTCTTCTCCCTGCCAGGAGGAATTCTATAAATACATTGTTACCTTTAGCTAAACGCTATTCCCTATAAGGAAAAGTCTCAACTCGACCCTTGTATATAACATGTTGTGAGCCAGTTCACACAGTGGGCCCAACTTGACGCTTGCTTTCTGTCGAGCAATGTGTTTGAGGTGCTTGCGGTTATCTACAATGTCTTTTGCCCGCGATGGCTTACTGCAAACTGGGGGCATATTGGCAGCCTGCCAGTTGCTCACAAATTTTGAATGAAGGGCAAACAATATGACAATATCAAGAGAGGGAGGGAGAGGGGGAAAATAGGGATATTCGAAAATTCGAATTTCAAAAAATTGTGTGTGTTGTTTATTGTACTACTTGAGTCTATGACTATCTAGCACATTGGGCTCCTCTCTGGCCCAGGCCACACCTTGTACAGTGCTTCTTGCCTCTTTTGTTACTTGAAAGATCATTGATATATTGCCGGTGACGAAAAGCCATTCAGCTTAATATTTACACGTAGAATTCGGCCACCTTTTCCATGGTACCTTCTACCCAAAAACAAAACTGTAGCAAAGGAAACAGTGTGCGCGGAAAAGGTCTCAATAAACCTGCAGCCCCAGCCAGGCGAGGCTCAGACACCAGGACCACATGAAATGCGCATATTCATCTAAATCTCCCTTCTTTGTAACAGTCGAGGCCGACTTGGTCCAATCTGCCATCTTTGTATTGGGTGCTGGGTACGCTCCTGAAACGCATCAGATGGCATCTCCTCCATGATCAAGGGTTGGTGATGAGTAGGGCTCCGACCCTACCATCTGATCTGATTGTGGTTAGCTTCATGATAATAGTGATAGGGGGATGTGTTGAGAGATGAAGACGATACAGACGGCGAAAGCGATTGGGAATCCTCATCAAAGTGAGGACTTTGTTACCCAATCTCGGCTCTGCAGACTCGACAGTGAGAACTGGAGGTTCGTAGGGGACACCACTGACAGGTGTTAAGAATAGTCCCCATATGGGTCATATAAATATAAGAAAGCATATGTTCACTCTTCTGACAATATCTGTTACAACTGATCTGAGGATGATACGGGTCTCTAAGAAGTTGTATTTGGACATTAGGCTACACTTTGTAGGTAGGAGAAAAGACAAAGAGAAAGGAAGTACTGGGAGATACGAGCTTGAGGTAAGCTTGACCACGGCTCCTCGTTAGTCCGGCCTGCATCCCTGTTATACATTATCATGTGATCCTGGATTCTTCCACCAGTTGTTGGAAAATGCTGCTTAGTCAGCTGAGTGATTCGGTTAAACCCACTCACCCTCTGTATTTAGCACACACACATTTTTCGTATATTGTACTGCATTACTATACATATTCTCCACATACCTTATTTTACCCTCCATCTATTCTCGCCACTGTGACTCCACTCTCTCAATAATCCTAACACCAGTCTACCTCCAAGTGCCCTAGCAAGTCCAACCATAACATTAGGCGCGTAGGCTGTAAATACAGATGATTTGGTAGACAATATGTTAGGGTAAAGATCATAGGATAGACTGACGAGGTCTAATCTGGTGATTGAGATTGTCTACAAAGAGGAAAGGTAACTCCTATTGAGTCTTATAAATATACATACATTGTGAATTGCGCATCAGACGCGTGATAGCACGTGACCATAAGGTACTACAATCCACTCCATCCCTTGACAGGAAGTTCCTGACTTGGTTGACCAGACTAAACGTAGCATCTCAGCATTAGCCAATGGCACAATGATAGTAACAAGCAGGCCATTTTCCTCGTGGGAAAGCCAGTCTGTGACAGTGGGCGTAAGAATGAAAGGGTATCATGTGGTGTCATGTGGTGTCTTGTGGTGTCTTGTGGCTCCTAACTACAACAGATCTTGTGTAGAGCTTGAGACTAATACGTGAATTCTGTATCCTTCAAGTGTAGGATGTCTATGTGTCTATATACATTGATTCCTCCTTACTCCTCAAACTTGTAGATCTATTGCTGTGGTTGCCGGCTGTGACCGTAGGCTCTAACCGTGCGATTTCCTGTGCATGAGGTCATAGGATAATTACGATTACGTGTGTGCCGTGTTTCCTACATCCGGCTAACTCGTGCCCTGTAGATCTATCCAGGATTCACAACGTGGCATGTGAGACCAGCAGTGAGGCCAACAGCCGTAACAGATATAAAGTTAATATAATTTATTTTTTAATTTACCTCGAAAACCTGTAGTAGCTGCAGTTTCAATATTAAAATCTAAGTGTTACAGTGTCGCTTGCAATCTCGCAATCGAAGTCCTGGCGCGCACAATGCTCTTCAATTTAAGAAACTCTTGTCCAAAAATCGAAATCTCTCTCCTTTTGAGATTGAATCAAACGTTAGCATCATTTTTTCTACTTTTCCGGGTTTCTCTCACGTCCATCTCAATTAATTTTGCCTCCCGGGTTTGTGCATCACAATTGGTCTTCTCCAGCGGGTATAAATATCAGCGTGAGCATACATATGATGACCGGCTGAGTCCAGGGAAAGTCGAATACAGTTGCGTTCATTGGAATTAAGATATAGTTAGTCGTACCTGTAGACTGGATGATTTTTTGGTGGGAGCTGATGTCGTTGAGAGTGAAAGGGTGGCATGATGGTGTATCATAGATTATGGCCTCGTGAGATAACTTCTATGGTATTGCAACAATTTAGCGAATTTGGCTCTGAGAGAATATTTCACTCTCAGGTTCGTAGTGGACATCGCATACAATTGTTCAGTCTTTCGCTCCGAATCTCAATTTATCTCCTTTGTATGCAGACACATACTTGGTTATTTTTGAAAATTTCAGGACTAGTTATCCTTATTTAGTCCTCAGTAAAATTGGTAGTGTTAGTGTTAGTATTTGTACGTCGACAAATGTGAAGTACTTCTGTTTGCGAGTTCCGGCGCAATGAAGTAGTAACTGATTTCAGGTCTGCTCTTTTGAGTTGTAGAATTGTAGCTTTTATCTCTAACTTCTCCAATTATGTTTAGATAAAATCTTGTATTTCCAATACTAGGGTTAAGATATGTTAGGCATGAGTAACGCCGGAACCACCGGTAGAGGCATATCACCAGCTCTCGCTTGAGCACTGCCCCTACGCCTCTGAGCGCCTAGTTCGGCTAAACCAGATTTCAGGAGGTGCTCATTTTTAAGATGTAGAAGACATGTGTATATCACCTAGGATTTGGAAGCTTCCCTGTGCAGGTACTCACGAATGAGGGCCTTTTTTTTCATTAAGTGTATGCAGCCTGACTAGCTATGACCCTATGTGCAATTCTTCTCTAACTAACACATACTCCTCCTTATTCCACCATGTGATCCCCTTCATGATACAAGGAAGATTCTTGATGAGTAAACTGTAATTAGTTAGTTGATTTCCATCTTCCTCGTCCCTACTCCCAGAAAGGCAGCTAGTTGTTGAAAGATGTCTTGGAAGCGAAGTTTTCCCTACATTTGTGTTGAATAAGATTGCAAGTGTGTAAGATGACAAATTTTGAAATTCTTTTCTCCTCTGTTTCTTAAAGGATCAAAATTAAAGTGTTAAATGTTCAATTGTTTGAACAATTTTTGTGCAGTAATTGCAGATATTAGTATCACTTTTTGTTGGAAATTGTCAAGGATAACTAGGAGGGAATATCCTGAAGAACAAGTGTACAATTTCGGACAAGACTTTATTGATAATTGTATAGGATATCGAACTCTCTTCCCAATGTGAGTTGATGATGTATAATATTCCGTCGATTTAGCTTACAACTTACAAGTCTATCATTAAATACAGATTCCTGAGACTTTAATGATCTCGAACTCCAAGTGATCTGGCAACAACTAGCCACTCAATTATCACAAGGTTGGATTTCTTAGCCACTGCATTTCAGATGCCACTGAATCTCATGTTGGCAAGCTTAGCTTAACTATATGCAATCGTATCAAATGAATTGATCTTGATGATCATACTTAGAAATCTAAACCTTCAGATATACTAAGTCTAGATTTCCAACACTCTTCCCAATCTTCTCCATGTAAGTCAGGTGGCTTCCTATGCCTGTTCTAGCTTGATTATATGCTGATTGAGTTTTTCGAGACGAATGGGAGCCAAGTGTATTGTATAAAAAAAGATAAATTTTAGGGGTACCTATGAATAAGATTAAGGTTATGAGAATGTCCAAATTAAAAAATAAAGTCACACGTGCACAACATGCTATTTATGCATTACAGAACAGTGGCTGAAAACACTATATATTTAAAACTGACGCCCTCTGGCCGCCCATCGCGACCAACGGCCGCGGTTACTCAAACAAAATCCACTGATAATAACCTCAAACTTTCCACTGACCGTGCCCCTCTAGTATGGATAAGTTTCAAAACTTTACTCTCCCTTATTTGGAATATACCATACAACTTGTGACTAGGGGCACGATGCGAGTTGGGGTAAAAGCCAAGGACCCGACCCTCCCCGCCCACCCGTGTCGTGTTGAGTTACCAGCCTACACTCTGGTGCCCTGTACGCGTTCTACCTTGCCCGTCTGAGAATTATCCATGTTAACCGCTTGAAGAAGATAGCTACCTACACTGATTTCCGTCTGAATTTCTATGGTGTCCTGATTTTTATTGGATGTCTTGTGGGCAGAGTCTTAAGTATACATAATATGGATCTTGGGAATCACATCTATTTCGGCGGATCCAAGCATATCATCGGTTTCTCACGAAGTCGAACAGTAGTCTCACACCTTCCTTGTTTCATAGCAATTCTTCGTGTACTTTACGTTAAGCCTGAAGAGTGAAAGATCTGAACAGGTGAAAGCTAATCAAACAGACCCTTGGAGTCAATCCCAAACGACAGAAATCGGCGCCCGCTTCCCCCTCCCCAATATATCTCCAAATGTTACTTAAACTACAAAAATTTGCCCATAAGGAATTGGCAGAGTCCAAGCAAACCGTTAGACGACGGTCGTTGAATTTTCATCGCTAGAAATTATGGGCACATTCAGCCCTCGGTCAGGACTTCGCAGAACCAGCTGTTCGTGCCGCCTCGCTTTAAGAAAGTCACTGATGGCTCGAATCAAAATAAACCAACCAACAATCATCAGTATGTAAGCCATCCACTCACTACTAGCAACATTGCCCCATTTGGATCCAACATCGTCAATTCTTTTGTTTCCTATCTGATCAGGGTCAAAGTCGTGACTGTTGGGGTCCGGTGGTTCAGAATATTGAGGTGGTCCACCGTCTGGTATCGGTCCCTGAGTAACACTTCCTGAGCCTTTCATATAGAATCCATACTGCACCAGAGTGATTCCCAGACCGGCACGGGAGCCATTTTTGGCTGCGTGAGTAGTATGCAGCAAATACGTCAGAAGAAAGCCGACTAATTGAAATGACATTGATATCATCCCATTCCAGATAAAAGAAAACACAGATCCTACTGGGAGGCCTTCGACATACACTTCATCTAGGCCCCCGAGGCCAGGTGCTAGAATTGTTGTTTCCCAGTATGGTGGAGCACAATCTGCCGCGGCTTGCTCATAGGTCTAGAAACAGTCAGCTTTTAGGTTCGGACTTATCTTTTTTCAATACTAAAAGACAAGGGAACACACCGGCGGATGTTCATCTATCTTTTCGCCCGACTCAGGCTTGGCGCTGAGGTTGGCAAAGACACCATCAGACCCAGATCCGCCACCATATACTCGACCTGTAGTAGTTGTTGGACCTTGCGGCGGTATATTTGTCTCGCTCCTAGCTACTGTGGGTCGAGAACTTTCAAGTGGCGATATGATGGCTGTATCGCGGCGCTCTCTGGGTGATGAGGATGATAGACCTTGCATCAGGCGTTGCCGAGAATCTCCGTCGTTATCTTCATCAATATCAGATCCATCTGCATCGAATGCTTCTGCAAGGTTCTGATTGACTGTAGATAATGTGCGATTTCTGATAGCAAGCGACGAAGCACGAGATCGAAAGGATGGGGGCGGAGATTGGGGCGTTACTGGACTATCAGGATACCCATCCTCTATGGTAGCAACCTGACGAATTCTATTAGTGTATTTTCGAGAAAGAACCCTCCAGATTGAGGAAATTATTGGAAGTATCATACCCTCTGGTATCGTTGCGAGCTCATTATTGAGCAAAGAACTTTTGGAAAAATCAATCACTGAAACACACTTACACACGCACACACATACACACAATGAGTATGAGTATCAGTGAGTCTATTCGGGAGGATGATAAAATTATTAGGGTCCGGAGTGTTGATTATCAACAGGTTGATGAAGGAGGATAAGTCGGTGTAGCGGGTCGATTGATGTTGCGCCATTGTCTGAACAGCGCTAAACTACTCATGATCCCTGCGACACTGCCACTCGTCAATGCATCATCGTAGGCTAGCCCCGTACTTGTCTGAAGGAGGCGACCCTGTCGCATTTTATGAACATGTCCAAACCAGTTAGTAGTTGCCAAACATGCATCATTAGGTCGTTTCCAACGCCCCAAAACCCATCCTCATGTCAACGAAGATAGCATATCAACATTACTTGCGTGCACTGTCACGCTGGCCTCACGATGTTCTTCGTCCGGAGTGCCGATTCCAGGATGTCCTACGACGACGCATCGATTTGAGATTACTGCCGAAAGCTAACCAAAATGGTCAGGATTCGTTAGCACGCAGTGTCGTGCCGAAAAAGATTAACGAAAAAGATGAATTAGCACAGGCTAATTCTCTCTATCTTCTGCTAGAAGATCGTTTCTGCAAGAAGGCAAGCTTGTGATCATGGCGGCTAATAGCTTGATCCTCTAGAACTAACTGCTAAATAGTATCCGCTAAAAGGCTCCCTCCTGAAGCCATTGAGTAACCCAACCTATTACTCCGATCTAATTACGGAATTGGAACACGCACCGCTCCGGGGGTGGTGGGATCGACTGAAGAACAGAGTGAAGGGTTTGGTTCGATTTCGCTGAAGGGCCTGGCGATCTAGTCCCATCGTCTGTCAGGAGCGATAGCGGGGAATAGATGCACGTGTAGCAATGCAAAATAGATGGAAATTACTGTACAAAAAAACCCGTGTTTTTGAAACGAGCGTGAAACATTTCCTCCGTTTGTTCCGAGCTAGTATGTCTACATGTATTTCTTCTTGGGATCTAGCCAGGCCATTAACTCCATACTCTTCTCGTACATGGTGAAAACAATGCCTCCACTCATCATCAAACGAGCTAATCGCGGTAATGCACCACTCCACAGAGTCATAATACCCTCATTACTGATGATCATTGACGCACAAGTGAAGCTATTTTTATAGACGCCGCGCGCATCTATACTTTGCATGCGAGTCTTAATTGTGTCTAAGGGCTGGGTCGCGTAAACAGTGATGAAGCCAGCCACGCCTCCAATACCGAACGTGGATAAAGTTCCAAGCTTTTCACCAGGAGTCACGTAGGATTGTGCCCACTGGCGTAAGAAGGCGTAGGAACTAAAGCGAACGGCGCTGTTGGCGGCCTGTCGAGCCGTAGTTGGCGCTAAGCCTTGAAAGAAGCCGCGCAGGCCTCGTTCTCGTGCTATAACAGGAATGGCATGCAAGAATCCACGAATGCGAGGAGTCGCACGCTTACGGTCATCGATACTGTAAAGAATTAGTGTCATCCTTCCTACTGGCGTGGAGCCGGCTTGCGACACCTACATGGTTGTCTTGATACTTTCAAACGGCGTCACGGCCAACAATGATTCGGTTAGCCCGGCTCCAAACCCAGCCATGACTGTTCGCGATCTGGAGATATTCCCGTTGGCATCCTGCAGCATAGTCCGATATTGATCATAGGCAACGAATCCTGCGCGGAATTAGTCCCGAGACGATTGTTAGTGCGGGCCGAGGCCTTACGGATGCCGGCCTTCAATGAGTTTCCGACGATTAAAGTTGTGCAGCCTGCATACCATAGTTTGCCGAACGGTGGCCAGGGCAGTTGGGCAGATTGGACTAGTCTGCGGTTGAGTTGGGTTCTTGTCTTTGCAACTGTCACGACGTCAGCGAGACTTGACGTGGGAGACCATCGAAAACCATACACTCGGCGGGATATGTAATTGCTTTCAGTTTTATATTAGCATGAAATGGGCCTTAACCAGGATTTTTGAGGACATCTTACCAATTTCAACCGCGCCGGCCGTTGAGCCAGCAATAATTGATCTGAGAACATTAGGTTTGTCCTTTGGCGACTGTATGGAAGTCATTCTTGGCAATCGACTCGTTCGAAAATGGAGACTGCCGTTGGTCGCTCATGCAAAGAAACGGGGTCCGCGCGTAGGACGTGTGGTGCGGCAACTACATCCAAGTTTTTCGGGTATTTTTCATCAGAATAAGTTCATATTGTATTCAGCCATATAGCTATGATAATCGATTAGAGTATCATGTACGTGTTAGATGAAATTTTTAATTACAGAGATGCTCATATTTCTGATTCGATTCGCAAACATCATTATTAGATTTGGGTTAGAAAATTCAACACCCGCTAAAAGTATTCACTACGAACCTCCAACTCTCACTTCAGAGCCTATCAAGCCAAAATTTGGTCACCAACAAACTTTGAGCTGAGTTTTCCCCGGATGTGATGTTTTTGTTGTACTACTTGAGTCTATGACTATCTAGCACATTGGGCTCCTCTCTGGCCCAGGCCACACCTTGTACAGTGCTTCTTGCCTCTTTTGTTACTTGAAAGATCATTGATATATTGCCGGTGACGAAAAGCCATTCAGCTTAATATTTACACGTAGAATTCGGCCACCTTTTCCATGGTACCTTCTACCCAAAAACAAAACTGTAGCAAAGGAAACAGTGTGCGCGGAAAAGGTCTCAATAAACCTGCAGCCCCAGCCAGGCGAGGCTCAGACACCAGGACCACATGAAATGCGCATATTCATCTAAATCTCCCTTCTTTGTAACAGTCGAGGCCGACTTGGTCCAATCTGCCATCTTTGTATTGGGTGCTGGGTACGCTCCGGAAACTCATCGGATGGCTTCTCGAGATCAAGTGTTGGTGACGAGAAGGGCTTCAACCCTTACATCTGATCAGATCGTGGTTAGCTTCCTAATAATGGTGAAAGGGATATATTTTGGGAGATGAAGACGATACAGACAGCGAAAGCGATTGGGGATCCTCATTGAAGTGAGGGCTTTGTTACTCAATCGCGGTTCTGCAGACTCTACAAGGAGAGCTGGAGGTTCGTAGGTGACACCACAAGCATGTGTTGAGAATATCCCCACAATCGAAAAGATAATTTGCTGCCAAACTATTATAAAGAGATGGATCGTGAGGAAGAGGAACGCATATAATGTCGTGAATTACTAGGAGTTATAATTGACTTTGTTGTTATTATTATTAATTCATTTTATTGTCCTGTCTGAGTCTGTGACTATGTAGAACATGCAGGTTCTCTCTGCCACAGGCCGAGAATACCTATACCGATAGTATCTGCCCTCCTATACCTCCTATACAGCTCCCCTCAAACAGTACCGCCCCTCACAAGTCCTCATTTGATCATACATTTAGAGGAGCCCTTTGTCCTTCATCGTCTCCCCTCCCCAGCCAACGAAACGATGGTCATTTGCACATGTATAGCAGCCGGGGAAAATCGTAAAAAACCACTGGGTGCGGAGCTCTCCTAATACCGATACTAGTACTAGATCCGAGGACATAGTGCCCCTTTCTGAAGCGTTCGAAGAGGCCGGCCAGCTGGGCGCTGCAGACTTTTGAGTACCTCGAGAAATTCACCCTCTGCCTTTCTAGCATCCTTCCAACTCCTTCCCGAAGGTCGTGGTGAAATGTCAGAAAAGTCTTGATAGAGCGTGATTGCTGTATGGCAGCTTAGCCCAACTTCTTTTGTACCGTCCAGGGCGCTGGGGAGTGCCGTTGACTCATCAACAATAGAAGTCCTCCTGGCTAATTAGCCGAGATCTAGGTCTTGGCGCCCAAAAGCATCCCAAAGTTGAATAGCCCTCGAAAATATTGGTCCCAGCATGCTCTTCAGAGACCTCTTTCCCCTCTCGCTCCACATCTCAGCCGCCTGTTCCCCCTCAAGTTTTTTGTCCCATTAGAGCAACAGTCCCCCATGAGCCAAGACCTAGGCTTTGTATTTTTCGACTTGATTTCCTCCTTGCGGGTATAAATAGCGTCGTAAATATGTAGTGAGAGATGGCTGGAAATTAATGGGACATGCTCCTGTTTGCAATTGGAGCAGCTTATTTATTGGTCGACGAGGCTAGATGATGCGTGGTTAGAGAGAGGTTGAGGACTCAGATGAGAATGACAAGAGAGGCATTGTCGAGAAGTCGTCAATTGGAGATATGTTTGAAGTTGCTTTCGACTTAGATTCGGATGCGATTCTTCTTGGCTATCCCAGATACGCAGAGCATACTGAGCATCTACACCGGCACCACTAGAAGGTGAAGAGTTGGTCTTTGCCGGCCGGATGAAATTTGAGGTATGACGGATCTTCTTTTATTTTGGGACGCCTCATCTGTACTTTTTCTTTGATATTGTGCCATAGCTAGCTAGCTGCACGCATAATTCAAATCTGATGCATAAAAAATTCGTTAAACTACATAAGCTGAAAACCTACTTATTGCCTCAGGATATGATGAGTCAAGTAGCTTGCCTGGGAACAGGCATGATTATACTAGGTTTAGTAAATTCTCATCATAATTTTCATGTGTCCTTGAGGGAGTAGCGCAGCTTAAAACATTTTTAAAAGGAATTTATCTTCAAATTTTCCTTTTCTTCTCAAGTCTCACATACGGAATCGACCATTGGATCACCAGGCAAAATTTTCGACGGAACAATCCCCTTGACCCTGGCCTGACAGCATGGCTGATTCGAAAGAACGACCCTCAAAAGTACGCAAGCTAGATACGTCTCATGAGCTGGACCTGTCCCTGGTATCAGATTTGAAGACAAAGTCGATGCCTAACACTGAGAATCAGAACTCATCTGAAAATTTCGGTCATACGCAGGAGAATGACGACATTGCAGCGACTATCGAAGAGACAAGCGGCTCTCAAGCCCCAGCAATGTCCAAAAACCAGCTAAAAAAACAAAGAAGACGAGAGCAGTGGGAGCTTGGAAGAGCAGATCGCGCCTCGAGACGGCGCGACAAAATAAAGGAGAAAAAGTTACGCAAGGCGGAGGAGAGGGCTGAACTTGCTGACAAGATTACAAGAGGAGAGCTACCCGCTCCTACTGCTGCAGATGATGACGATGATGATGATGAAGAGAATCGCATTCGTTCAGCGAGGCCAGTTCAGGTACCCATCGGCCTCGTTTTGGACGTCGACTTCAATGAATTAATGACGGAAAAAGAGATAATCTCACTAGGAGCTCAACTCACACGATGCTACTCTCTGAATCGCAGTGCTCCATACAAAACTCATCTAGCTATTAGCTCATGGGGTGGTGCTCTGAAGACTAGATTTGAGAATATTCTCGCCAACACTCATTTGGGCTGGAATGGAGTTTTTTTCTTCGAAAATGAGGACTTTGTTGCAGCTGGCGAGACACTGCATAAAGTCATGATGGCTCCAGGAGGTGGAAAGGTTATTTCTACTTTGGTAAGAGATGAGAAGACCATGTCTGGACAAACTGAGATGGTTGCAACCACTGGTCTACCATTCCCCGAAAATCCAACCGACCATAGTGTGAGCACGCAGGTTCACGAAACACAAGATTATTCCTTCCAAGATAAGATTATAGAATCTAAAAAAGGTTCATCAAGTGCTGCTACGACGCCCGCGTCAATAACTACCCCATCTTTGATCTATCTCACCTCAGATTCTCCTAATACACTTCAGTATCTGAAGCCCAACACAACTTATATTATCGGTGGTATTGTTGATAAAAATAGGCATAAAGGACTTTGTTATAAACGTGCATGTGAACGAGGGATACCCACTGCCAAACTTCCGATTGGAGATTACATGAAAATGCAAAGCCGAACGGTACTGACCGTTAACCATGTTGTAGAAATTATGTTGAAGTGGATTGCTACAAACAACTGGGGGGAATCTTTGACGAGTGTCATACCAAAGAGAAAACAAGCAGTCTTGCGAACAAGAGAATGCAATCAAGGTGACTCAACAGCGTGCAAAAATGAACAGAATTCGAAACAAAATGATAAAAAAGATATTAATGAAACAGTCAGCTAGTGTCTTTTGGATATCAGTATTGGCCCGGATACATGAAGGCAAGATTTGACACGGGCTAGGGTAGATAGACCAGCATCTGTAAAAGATGTAGCTCTCGAGTGACATTCGGGGATATCGGCAGTAAAGCACGTGAACGTGTACAAATGGACATAGTCAAACCGTATCAGATCCAATACAAGCAGAAAGTCAGGTAATAGTGAAGAAAACTTCAGAAGGCCTTGCCACCTCTAGGACTATTATTTTTAAGGCTCTCGCATAGCTTAACAGAAAAGAAAATCAATAGGTATTGTTGCGCTTGTACTGCTTATCTTACCACAAGTTTACCCCAACCCTAGACCAGAACTCCGTAATACAGCGCCTTGTAAGTAAATCATTAGATATTGTCTCTTAGCACATACTCCTCGACCATCTCGGCCCTCTCCTTCTTCGCAATCATCTCGGGCATAGAGTGCATCAATATTTTCAGTCCCTGCACACTCCTCGTCCAATCCCCCTCGACCGCCTCTTGCCTCTCGAGCGCCTGGATTCCGAGATTTGTTGGTCTCTGCTCTGAAGCCTCAGCTTGTTGCTCGAGATTACGAATGATTTGCTCGTCAGTTTCAAGACCCTGTGAATAAGCTGATTTTACGGTTTCGAAAATCTGAGCTGGTGCCAAGCGGCGCAGCGCAGCAATCTCTTCCACAAGGTCTTCTTCTTTACGCGCCAGATTCTTGGCTCTCTCTAGGAGTCGGGTGTCGAAAGGTTCGTGTTCTTCAGTTTCTTGCAGCGTATTTGTTGTGGAGTGCAGTAAGGCATGTATGAGTGACGGCGATGGATCAAGTCCGTTGATGGCGATGTTAGCTGACACCGACTCCAGGACCTTCATTATGTACTATGCCCAAAATTAGCCCAGTCTATTGCAGCAAATCTCCCGCTCAATCGCTACCAGACCTGTGGGTACTTACTTGGGCAACTAGAGCCTCGACCCGTTTCCGCATAGGGTCCTCTCCTTCCATGGGCGGCAAGTCCATGTCAATCTTGGCCTGAGCGGCGCGGCGGATCTTGGTCACGAGATATTGAAAATCTTCGAGCGATTGTAACTCAATTTTCCGCTGGAATTCGGTCATATTCTGGCTGCATAGGGCGTTGTGGCTGGCGAGAAGATCATTCCCGGAAAATAACGAGGAAGTTGTTCCCACGTACGGCCTGCCTACGCTCATTTTCTCACTTACCCTTGTCGCGTCGGGGAGCTTGCTAAGCTGCTTCGGCCGGTGAGCTAGGAGGATTACACGAGCCGGGTAACATGATGGTAATTCTTAAATTTTGCCATGATATTTGTCACTTTGAATGTTTACAAAGCCTGTTACCATGAACTGAGTCATCAAAGAATGTTAAAGCGGGACTTAAACATTAAGACAAAGTCGGGCACAATCATGGATTGACTCCGCCCAGTATGGCGCCTATTGTTTTGACGATGAGAGCGTTCCTTACAGCAATCAAAATAATACAACATTGTCGCTTCCACAGATGCACTGATTCTGCCAGCCAGAGAGGCTAATTTTTATTGTAAGATGAGGTGGAGCGTCGATCACCATTATGCAACGTCTTGCTCACGGCCAAGGCGACCCCCGTATTCGGCGCATTGAGCTCGGCACTCAACCTTAGCGGGGGCTTGTGCGAGCCGTGAGGTTCTCCACTTAATTGGTGCCGCCGATACCCCTCCTACTTCTTCCTCAGCAGAATAGATCCCTCACGCGAGACGATCTATTCTTCAAAGTTTCACGTGGGGCACTTACACTTCAACATGTTCTACAAGTGCATTAGAATAGGTGAGCAGGCCCCTGCAGCCAACAACTTTCACATGTGGCCCGGTGGAAAGCTTTTAATATGTCCTGGAAAGTTGGTAATCTTCTGGGTACATAGGTTACATTTTACAGGACATGACGCGACCTGAAAATATGGTCCTCAAGTTTCCAAATCGTACCAAATTACTTAACCAAGACTGACCTAAATTCTCCCTCTTCCCATACCATCTCTCTCTGCAGTAAAGGGCCTGTTTTTTCGACTGGGTGAACCCATTGACATCAGACTAGATGAAGATCAATTTGCCAGAGACTTTTAGCTTCATGGTAAGTTTTCAATCGTGTTTATTCCTACTTTAATGTAGTGTGAAAGCTGGACTGTAAAAATATTTGTGTTGGTAAAATAGAAATTTGTAGCTAGCAAAACTCTACTTCTACGTCCAGGTCCTATATTAGCTTTCTTATTTGATAAGATACCAAACTCCGCAATCTCTCATTATTCCATATAAATTCATCGTATCGTAATACGAACCCTCTTGAAGCAAATAACTCCTATTCCAATGAGCACGTCAAGCAAATAGAGATTTCTCCTGCCAAGTACGTAATCTCGTTATTCTGCCTCACACCAGAATACACTAATCCTCGGGACTCTGTTAGTATAGCAATTACTGAGGAAACATTTGCTTTGTTTCTTCATCACTGAGACGTATCTCATGGACAGGATCTCTTTTTCGTTCTAACGACTCGAACTCGAAATCAACGTATGAAGGTAAGAATATTTCTACATTCGTTAGCATATGAACATATTTGTAAAATGTAAAGATGGTTGAATCGTACCTGGATTCCACTCATATCCCTGCGAGTACCGAACACATGTAATCTGATATGAAAGTTAGAGGTTAATCGGAAAAGACTAGTATACTGACCAGACGAGGAACTCCACCCGGGTCTCCAATATTTATAACTGTGTGTTCTTGCTTCAAGAGAGATGAACCTTCTTGTTGTCAGCATTGATTGCAATGAACCGTATAAGTATAAGAGAATGAGTGCCATATTCAATTATTCTTAGGAGTCGGAATAGATGTAGGCCATATAGCTATAATCTCAAAAATAGAATGTAAAGCTCACTAAGCAGACTAGGTCTTCGTTCATGACCGAATTTTGATGTCGAGAAACATTCTGGTTTTCGACCTAATTTTTGTGAAGGTAATGTTCGAGGCGAGCTCGAACCTGAATCTGAGAACGATGTAGAGCCGCTGCTGACTGCTGACTCTTTTTCCCCATTAAATTTCCTCACTGGTATTGTAATTGAAGAAGACATAATGATAAGGCAAGGAGTGATACCGTCATTAATCCTAAATCAAGATTTCATTAAATGATTTGAGACGTGCTTGATCAGTCTTGAAATATCTCAGATTAGTGACGATGGAGGGCATTTCGTCAGCATGGGGGGAAACAGAAGGATCGGCCTTGCCAGCTCCGACGCTAACCTATATAGATTAGTTTCCACAGGGTTAAATAGATCACTACACACACCTCATCTATTCGTGCCTATTTGATCACGACAGTAAAAGCATAGGAAAGCAACACGATCGTTTCTGAAATACTTAGTTCTTCTACCATCGCAAGAGCTTACAGTTTAATTCGCCATTGAAAAACTTCTGAGAGGGAGATTATCACAATGGGGGACGTACTAGTGGATACTATTTCGGCTCAAAATCTACCGCATAAGAAGCATCTGCCCTCATCAATACCAAACATAGAGTCATTGGAAGCATTAGAAACGGACGGTGGTGATGAATACTTAATAATGAAGAAATTACACGGTCATCTGGAGTGGGTTGGTTTCTTTTCACTCTGTGTAACCTCCTAACCATTAACAGGTATATTCAGCTCCAAGAAGAATACATCAAAGATGAACAACGGTAAGTTTCAGATAACGTACCTGATAGTTTTCTGATACTTTAAAAGGAGTCTAAAAAAAGAATTGGTTCGAGCTCAAGAAGAGATTAAACGTATCCAAAGTGTGCCGCTGGTAATTGGACAATTTATGGAAGCTATTGATCAAAAGTAGGTCTCAAATACCCATCAGTTCACTATCTAAGCTCAAAATTCTAGTACTGGTATTGTACAATCTTCGACTGGCTCAAATTATGTTGTTCGAATACTTTCAACTCTCGACCGTGAGAAACTGAAGCCTTCATCCTCAGTGGCTCTACATCGTCATTCAAACTCTCTCGTTGATATATTACCTCCTGAAGCAGATTCATCTATCGCCATGCTGGGCCATGATGAGAAACCAGACGTAACTTATGCTGATGTCGGAGGATTGGACATGCAGAAGCAGGAAATTCGAGAAGCTGTGGAACTTCCTCTGACTCATTTTGATCTTTACAAACAAATTGGTATAGACCCACCCCGTGGTGTTCTACTATATGGCCCACCAGGAACCGGTAAAACTATGTTGGTCAAGGCTGTGGCTAATTCTACCACTGCCAATTTCATTCGTGTGGTGGGATCCGAGTTTGTACAGAAATATTTGGGAGAGGGGCCACGTATGGTTCGGGATGTATTCCGAATGGCGCGAGAAAACTCACCTGCAATAATTTTCATAGATGAAATTGACGCGATCGCTACGAAGCGATTTGACGCGCAGACTGGAGCTGACAGGGAAGTTCAACGTATTCTTCTAGAGCTTTTAAACCAGATGGACGGCTTTGACCAAACTTCAAATGTCAAGGTTATCATGGCCACCAACCGGGCTGACACCCTTGATCCAGCCCTCTTACGACCAGGAAGGTTAGATCGAAAAATCGAATTTCCTAATCTGAAAGATCGAAGGGAAAGACGATTAATATTCACTACGATCGCTTCTAGGATGTCTCTTGCGCCCGAGGTAGATCTTGACAGCTTGATTGTACGAAATGATCCTCTCAGTGGTGCGGTTATTGCAGCGATTATGCAAGAAGCTGGGCTGAGGGCAGTACGGAAAAATAGATATAACATCATACAAGCTGATATTGAAGACGCTTATTCGAGTCAGGTGAAAGGAGCGGCAGAGAAGAATAAGTTCGATTTCTACATGTAACGCAGGTTCGGCGGCTAGCATCAAAGGAGTTGAAAGGACTGTATTATTGCCGGAATTCTGAATTATTTACTCCATTAATGAAATTTTTCGCTGATAAAATTTATAATTGAATCTAGATGTGTTCCCATCTACGAAATAGTTCCTGTCCTCGTTCACACTATCACCTCAGCCTCGACATTTCAAAATGATGCCCTAATTCCAGCTCCAATTGCACCCATAGCACTTAGATTTCATGAACTGGATTCTCAGGGTGCGCGAAAATATCAGATATGACCATAAAGTAACGGTCAACTGGAAGATAACTTCAAGGAATGGAAGAGTCCTGGGTCTTAGCGGGTAATATGGACTAATACATAAAAAGGATTCTAGTCTCTAATTTAGTAGTAGAGCTAGATGATGATTTATTTATCGTACCAGGCTTACACCCTCCATCCAATGGACGTGACACGCATGGAGGACATCTAGAATACATGTTCCTCCATTCTCAAGCAAAGCCCATCCGGTGCCTGACTTTTCCAAATACGTGCCTCACGCTAGTTACATCGGGTCGAATAGGTAGGAACGCATTCACCATGATCCTAAGACCATGCATTGAGGGAAAACCTTCGTGGGAAAACCTCATTAATTCCCCCAGTACTATTTCACGACGAGCAGCCGTAGTCCCCCCTTAAACAGGCCGTGTAGGAATGCAACCTACCACATCTAGAAAGCACGTCCAGCACCCGACCAACTGTGCCAACAGCCTGTTGAAAATCACATATCGTTCTTCCCAATTCTCTCCTGCATTGCGCTCAACCCCCATTTGAGAGGGCTGAAAATCCGAAATCGAGAGCTCAAAACCGAGGCATCGGTGCCCCAGCTTTTGTCGTACATTGTTCGTTGTCTAAGTGAGACTTCTTCGTTCGCACCGTCTTTGGAATGTGTCGAAAAGTTGAGAATGTTGATGTCACGGTCGAGGTGCTTGTCTAAAATGAGGCCGAGCAATTGCCCAGTCATGCACACAATGTTAGTAAGGTTGAAAGCGAAAGGAATTTTACCTTTGATTTTGGAGGGTTGTTGGTGAGTCGTAAAGTCCTCCCAGTCAAACTCAATCGGGAAGTTTTTTTTTTTGCATCAGATTTTAATTGCGTATGCAGCTATCTAGTTATGACTCAATATCAGAGAAGTGTATGATAGATGACTCAATTTACAAGAAGAGCACTCATGCCTCGGATTTCATTTGCAAGTACCACTGCGAAGTTATGGCGGCTTTTTCTTCACCCCAAGTCAACCCTCATCCGTGAATACCCACCCAGGGGAACATCTCAAAAACCCTGGGTTATCCAGACATGCCTCCATCATCCGTTCACATTTTTCCGCGCGAAATATGGTCTTTGGTGTCTCCTTCCCAAGTGGATTAGGTACCCAGGCTACTCAAACTATACCAGAGAACACCGCCTGGAGGCTGACCACGGCACCTTCTATCGTTTGCTTATTTTTATAGTGTCAGCTGCACTCTTGCAAGCGAAGTCTTGGCGCGCACAAAGCTCAATTTGTAATAACTCTTTGCCAAAATTCGAAATTTTACGCCCGTCGAGAATGTATCCCTCTTCTACATCATCTTATCAATTTGTCCCGGTCCCTCTCACGTCCATCCCAAAGAATGATCTTCCAGATTTGTGCCCCACGCTTTGCTTCCTCCAGCGGGTGTGAATATCGGCGTGGGCGTGTATCTGGTGGCCAGCTGAGGCCAGAGAAGGCCGAAGAGAGGTGTGGTCATTGGGATGAGGATGTACTTGGTCCTACTTGGTCGTACTTGTAGACTTGATGAGACTTAGGTAGGAGTCAAACTCGTCGGGAGCGAAAAAACGACGTGGAGGAGTAATTTGAATCATTGCCTCGTGGGCCAACTTCTTTGATATTGCGAAATTTGACTGAACATGGCTCTGGGAGAATATTTCACTCCTAGGTTCGTAGACGGCACCGCGTACAGGTGTTCAGTCTTGCACTCCAATCGGGAAGTTGTTAGAAGACTGAATAGAAGAGACCCAAACTTAAACTTTTGATCTATCGTACCGGGAACGGAACCTAGCCCATGTGTCATTCGAAATCGACTGGGCTACGCTCAGCAAGCTGCCGTTGCGAAGGATACGATTCTTCTTGGCTATCCCAGATATGCAGAGCATCCTGAGCGATTACACCGGCACCACTGGAAGGTGAAGAATTCGACTTTGCCGGCAGTAGTAGAGCTTGATGATGATGATATTTTTATCGTGACCGGGTACTGACCCAGCACCCAGGGGGCATGGCACGGGTAGTCCAGATCTATATAAGACTCTTCGCTACCTACATGATTGGTTCATAGGAGCCAGAAATATAGAAACAAAACAAATAAAAAGAAAAAACACTATTTCTAAGATGCTAGCGCCCTGCACTACACCTCCATCCTCGTGCCACACTGAGCGGCCCTAAGAAGCAATACAGCTGACATTCAAGTTCCCTGTTTATGATTCAATTTTGCTGTAACATTTTCTTACAGTTAGAAAGCGCCAGAATATCTGCCATCCTTCTTGCCCTATCATATCCCTTGTCGTAGGTCGTGGTTCCTTCGTTCCGTCCTCCATTTCTAGATGGTCGGGCGACACTCTGCAAAATGCCATGGCCGTTTCTCTCGTCCGTATTTGCATCGCATTTCTTCATTCGGATGTTGGAATCGTCTGTGATAGCTAGCGAAATCACCATGCCCAGTCCTTGCCGCAATGAGGCGGTGATATGCCCATCGAGGTAAAGCTAGCTCCGGAGGGCGTTTTCTTCGCATCAGTAAGTCCAGATCTTCATACCTGTCCGATCTATTTTTATGCCACCAATCTTCCGCGAGTTTCTGTACTCGTATTGTGACTTGGCGTTCAAGTGCTGCGAATGTCAGGACTTTGTCAGATTCCTCCTGAGTGCATTCTGGTCTCTGGATATTTCCTTCCCTGGTTTTTGATGCAAGGGCTGCCTTTGTAATTGCGTCGGCTTTATCGTTCCCTTCAACACCGCTGTGTCCCGGAACCCAGTGGACTTCTACGGCAGGCTGAGCCTTGGATAGTTCAATAAAATTCCGGACCTCAGACTGTGAAGAGCTCGTTCTACCACTCACAAGGGCTCTTACCGCCTCTTGATTGTCGAGGAGCACCTTGATACCTATACTACCTCCAATTTCCGACGCCGCTTCTAGGCCTCGAACTGCCCCGACGATTTCTGCATCAAAGACCTCTGCTCCTGGGAGAAAATTTCCACCACTCGCTATGAGTTCTCTGTCCCTGTATATAGCATAGCCATAGGCTGAGTATGCTGGACCAGTCGATGACCCATCAGAATATACACACAGCGTCCCTACAGGGAGATTTCTAAGCCAATGATTAGTCCGCTTCGACTTTTCCTCCTTGTCACATTTGGCTCTAGCCATAGCCCTCGCGATCATCGGTTGGTAAAGCTGTCCAGGCCCTTCTGATACCGGTAGGTTGAGGTTACCATTCTGAAGGCGTGTCAGATATCGCTCTGGAAACTTGAAGACACGATCTTTTTGCCCCTCTCTCAGTTTGAGTCGCTTAATTGCTTCCTTTGGTCTCTCAGCTGCCCTTGACAACAAAGGGTGATAGCTGTCGAGTCTGCGGATTCTGGCTGCATTTCGGAGCTGTCGCTGCTGTAGCATAATTTCTGCCGGTAGTATCCCTGACTCACGGTGCAGAACTATATTTGGTGTAGTTCGCCACACTGGTAGTGCGGCTCGAACAGCAGTCAAAATAGTTCTATCTAGTAACTTGAGGTGCCATCCGACACCCGTATTTACTCTTTTATCTCGTACCGTCGTGATACGGGTGAGTCCAGGCCACCAAGCTTCAGCGCCATAAATTGCCGTACTGACTACACATGCGTTCACTGCACGGATTAATGGTCCCGGAGCCGCACCTCGTTGGACCCTATTAATACTTCGTATAAAGTGAGATAGTCGTTGTGCCTTATTACACCATTCTTGAACATGTTGTCTAAACGTCAGTTGGGAATCGAGCCAGACCCCGAGCCATCGAATGTACGCGGAAGGCGTAATAAGCTGTCCCTCAACCCTGACCGCGAGGTTGGATGAGTCTAGTTTCTTCTTCGGTCCTCCTCCTATAACCAGGAGCTCGGAATTAGAAGGGTCGAACCTTATCATGTGCGTTGAAGCGCGTTGGATTATCCTGTCCACTTCTACCTGGGCAGCCTCAACAGCCTCACTAGGATTTTTACCGACGCGAACAATGGCAATGTCATCTGCATATCCGAATATACAGTTTGGGGTTCCATCTTCAAGTAGGATTGAGATTTATAACATAAATAAAAGTGGCGATAGTGGTGATCCTTGGGGAACTTCGCACTCAACAAGCTTCTCATCAGTTACACCTTTTTCGTGTCTCACCAAAACTTTTCGTTGTTTCAGAAATGATTCTACCAAGCGACAGAGTAGTACTGGCCAGCCCTGACTTCGCATTCGTGCGAGCAGCCGATTGTGTAGCACTGCATCGAAGGCACCTTGTATGTCCAGCGTGACCATAGCTGTGACTTTGTTGGATCTCATCGCAGCTTCTGCATCGTGTATAACACATGATGCCAAGTCGACTGCTGAGCGTCCTGGTAGCGCGCCGAATAGTTGTGAAGGTACTGGCTTGTGTTTTAATGCAAGCCAGGACATCCTTTTAGCTATGAGCCTTTCCAATCCTTTGCCTAAGCTGGAGAGTAGCGATATGGGGCGCCATCTTTTTGAGCTGGAGAGGTCGCGTCCAATTTTTGAAAGTAGCACAACTTCCGCCACCTTGAAAGGCGTAGGGAAATATTGCAAGTTGAGACAAGCCTGGAAGAGGTCCCTGATGTATGTTCCAATCGTGCTCCAGCAGGCTTTGAGAAGTCGTACAGTAATCTTGTCGAACCCCGGAGCTGTTTCTTTGCTGCCAATGGTTGATGCTGTGATATCCTCCAGTGACACCTCTCCATCCCATGGA